GAGATGGGCGCAGCTGTGCACATCTCGCCGGAGGACGAGGCCAGGCAACAGGAGCTCTTCAAGTTGAACCAGTTCAATTTGATGGCCAGCGACATGATCTCCTTGAATCGGTCGCTTAGGGACATCAGGTTGGAGGGTTGCAAGACCAAGAAGTATCCCAAGTACCTTCCGGACACCAGCATCGTCATAGTGTTCCACAACGAGGCGTGGAGCACGTTGCTGAGGACCGTTTGGTCGGTCATCAATCGATCGCCACGCACGCTGCTCAAAGAGATCATTCTGGTTGACGACAAGAGCGAGCAAGGTACATCCATGCGAAGGTTTAACAGATTCTACTTATAGACAGTAAAAATTTTTGGGTGTAAGTGTTGTACATTAGAGAATCAAGAGTTGTATCTTAAGAATCGTATGTTACCCGTGTCTGTACATGTCGAACACGTTGATACTTCAGATTTATGTATGACTGTATTTGACACTTAAGATGATAATCATCAGATCCTCTTCAGATTGAACTCGAGTTAAGCTACTTATGTAATCGCTTATCGGTGGAAATTTTCATCATGGTCTTCATTCACAGATCACTTAAAGCAAGACTTGGAGGACTACGTGAAAACGCTGCCCGTCCCGACGTACGTGTACCGTACCGAGAAGAGATCAGGCCTCATAAGAGCTAGACTGCTTGGCGCGAAACACGTGAAGGGTCAAGTTATAACGTTCCTGGACGCGCACTGCGAGTGTACCGAGGGTTGGCTGGAACCTTTACTTGCCAGAATCGCCGAGAACAGATCCACGGTCGTTTGTCCTATCATAGATGTAATTAGCGACGACACGTTTGAGTATATTCCTGCTAGCGATATGACGTGGGGTGGTTTCAATTGGAAGTTAAACTTCAGATGGTAAGAATTAGTTAAGCTACTTGTATGATGATGATAGGAATATAGAGACATGGAGAAGTTGGCATTGGAAATATGGAAAGCTAAAAGTATTGGAATTTGAGGATATAAAAATTTGTGAATACAAGAACTTGGAGAATTAGGAATTTAGGAATATACTATTTATTACCAGGTGAACAGGTATACCTCGGTTCACCATTTGTTCCTTGAATTTTGAAGGTATAGAGTAGCGCAAAGAGAAATGGACCGAAGATTAGGAGACAGAACGGCGCCTCTGCGTACACCAACCATGGCTGGTGGATTATTTTCTATTGATAAGGAATATTTTTATGAACTGGGTGCCTACGACGAGGGCATGGATATTTGGGGCGGTGAAAATCTAGAAATGAGTTTCCGGGTGAGTATAAATCAATCTTAGTATTAACGTTATGTACTTATAATGTCTTGAGAGATTTGCAGGTGTTTCTCAAAGGGGATTGAGTTATCTAAAAATAAACATACGCAATTCTGTATTTGCTTTTACAGCTAAAATCTTTACTACTGTCGGTTTTATAGAGAACTTCTTTTCCCTATAGTGTTTTTTTTTTAATTGTAGTTAGATCTCCAGTTTACTTCACGCGTTAATATGGAACTTACTATATGCATCATCTTACAAATCTTACTTGAAAAATTAAGATTCAAAGATTATAAATGGGTGATCTCCTCTTTGGGATGCTAAATTTAAGTTTGCATTCCAATTGAAGGGTTTAATTGTCAACATTTCATGTTCATGTGTGAAGTAATAAGTAACTTGTAGGTATGGCAATGTGGTGGAACGTTAGAAATCAGTCCATGTTCACATGTTGGACATGTATTCCGAGACAAGAGTCCATATACATTCCCTGGTGGTGTCAGCAAAGTAGTTCTACACAATGCGGCCAGGGTGGCCGAGGTCTGGATGGATGAGTGGAGAGATTTTTATTATGCCATGAACCCAGGTTAGAAAATAACGTGTATCTTCTCTAGTTTACCTTATTTATTCTACAAATTACTTCAATAACACTGACTGTTCGACAGTGAACATTAGCAACTCTGAAGTATCGTTTTAGAAAAGTGTGCGTTTTAATTTATTTTAACAAGAAAAATAAGATAAATTTTATTAAAACTTTGATGTCCCTTATACGCTAATTAACTGAGTACATTACTGAGTAATAAACTGAGAAGAAAATGTATGTACAAACTTAACGGGTATCTGATACAATCTAATCAAAGATACAAGGAGGATTATAGCACACTTTAAAGTTTATTTGTATTGAAATGTATTTTGAAGTATAATGTTTCGCATAGATCTATTATTTTTTCTAATAAAAGTTTTCTTAAATTTTGTCATAAATGGTAATAAGTATAACAAACTAGATAAAGTATTAACACCCGTAATGACGTAGTTCGTATTAAGTACACTCCTCGGTATATTAACCAAATATTTATCGTACATCTGTATAATTAACATATGCGTATCGATACATAAATGTATTTTTTTTAGTACAAATATCATCGATTTATTTTAATGGTGTGTGTTCGTGTGTGTGAAAATTTAATTTGCAGGAATACGATTGATTTCTTTATTTTTCAATATACTTTGGTATAGTCTTAACCACTCATCCATCCAGCCGACTAACAAAATGAGTTTGCTTGCTTTTAGTTGATATTATTTACGAGTTTATTATAGGTACCCGAGAGGAGATCGAGCGTCCATCTTGACAAATTCTAATTTAATGTATTAGCTCTTTTTGTTTTGTTTCCTTGCTCTGTTTTGAAACTACCATTGTAATTGCTAACATACTAACAGAACTGAGTTGGTTAGATATGGATGTGTGGTGGGACATTGGAAATCGCAACGTGCTCGCACGTCGGTCATGTATTCCGTAAGTCAACACCATATACATTCCCTGGTGGTACGAGCAAGATAGTGAACCACAACAATGCGCGACTCGCGGAGGTCTGGTTGGACCAATGGAAGTACTTCTATTACAACATTAATCCAGGTAGCACTAACACCAGTATTTCTGGAAAAAGAATAGACTGCAATATCGCTGAGTTCTCGAATACCTTTACGTATACTTTCGCTTATTTGTTTGGCATGTTATTTTCTATCCGTTTTGTTTCTACTTTGGTTGGGTGATGGTACGCTTTTATAAGTTGCATTCGCTGTATGCTTAAACAGAGCTGGGTAACGGCTACATACGCATATATCAGATACCCGTTAATATTAGGAAACTAATAACGAGATTCCTTTTTTGTTTTGTACGTTTTCATAAAATAAGAAAGTGCTATGACATATAATCTGAACAAAAGAATTAACAGATACAGAGCTTGAAGAAAAAACTGATAAAATAAAATTTTGTTTCTTAATGTCTCAACAAACATTGATATATAATAGCACAATTACTTCCAAGGGCAAGCAAATATCATTAATACACCACACATGGCAATTTCTTTATTTTGGCACACACTTCTGATCACACCTTTCTTCCAGTGGAGATTCATACATGCGAGCACATTAATTGCATCATGTAGATTCAAAGTGATCACTTGTTGAAGGATATTCAAACCAGTATTTTACTTGTAGGTGCTCGAAACGTAGCCGTGGGAGATGTGTCCGAGAGAATTAAACTAAGAGAACGTCTGAAATGTAAAAGCTTTAGATGGTATCTAGAGAATATTTACCCAGAGTCCCCAATGCCGCTAGATTATTATTATTTGGGTGATGTACAAAATATTGACACACAAACCTGTTTGGACACTATGGGTAGAAGAACCGGTGAAAATGTTGGAATTAGCTATTGTCACGGATTAGGTGGCAATCAAGTCAGTAAACCAAATATCTTTTTTTTAATTTCATCCAGTACTTTTTACCTATGTAAGCTTTTCTGTTTAGGTATTCGCTTATACTAAACGACAGCAAATAATGTCTGATGATATGTGCCTTGATGCAGCTAGTCCCCAAGGTCCTGTCAAGATAGTACGATGCCATGGTATGGGAGGAAATCAGGCATGGGTTTATAACGAAGAGGTATGTTGCAGTTAAATACATCTGCAAAATGACTGTTAATGTAATGATTTATTTACTTGTTTCTGTTTGTAGACAAAAATGATTAAACATACGAACACAGGACATTGTTTATCGAAACCTCGTTCAAACGATGCAATGCAACCTGTCCTAGCACCGTGTGATCCTCATAATATTGGTCAAAAATGGATTATGCGTAGTAAATTCAAATGGCAAGCCAGCTAATACGAGCTGTTTCTAAATGCAACACATTTATGCAATACTTGTTGATATATTTACTACTACATTAAAGGACTGATAGTCAAGAAATTTCTGTACATGCAACATCAAGATGATAGTATTATAATTCATAAAAATAGTTCAGTACCATCAATCCACCAAATGGAGTTGACGACGTGAAAGAACTTAATCTATACCTTAAACACGAGAGATTGAAGTTAATGCGTTTAGTTACATAGGATTTATTTACTGTTGCTAGCAGTATCATGTATTTACTGCCATTTCTCATGGTATGCCTTGATTGAAAATGCACAAGTGTTGAGAAAGAAGAAAACTATTTCCAACTATGTGTGAAGATGTATACAAGTGATATGAAGAGACACCTATGTGAACATTTTTTTTAGTAAACAGTAGAGAGAAAAGCATATCAGACCACTGTTATAAATAAATAATTGTTAATACTAAAGAAGAGACATATTTGATAATGTGGGATGAGTGCAATGCTGGATGACTGGAAGATAATATCAGTGCGCTAAACCAAGGTTATGTTTACAGCATAAGTGATTACTATTACAGAGAGTGAATGTTGGAATGCAAGCGAAATTACTGTGACACTATCGACTATGATTTAGAACTTGTACTGTATAATTTTCTAGCGATTAGGGAAGAGCACTGAATCTTTTTATACTGGTATTTCTAACAGTTCCTTGTTGCATCTCGTTCATATTAATTTAGTTGTTATTTTCTTTTATACTTGTTTCAAACGAAGAAAGGTACTTATATCTGAATTCGCCATAGTAATATGAGATTATGTTAACGCATCATCGTTTAAGCATACGAAAAAGTATCAACTGTTATTCACCGCTTTGTTATACTTTCTTGAATTCGAGGCAGAACGTCTTCCGAATTTTCTTATCGAACAAAAATATAAGTAGATATTTTTATGATACTTCTAAGATGTTTCATAGCTATAATTCTTCACAGATTCAAACTCCTTTTACCTTCTGTGTACTAGAAGTGTGCCGAAAATTTAGAGTGCAATATACTTCTTGAGTAAGACTTTGAAGAAGACAGTTTCCCGTGACTAATGTAAAAATGTTGTTACCAGATTCTAACGCCCTTCCCTTGCATTACCGTAGAGTTGAACAATTTTTCACGCGCTGAAAAGATAGTCAACAAAATGTAAAGCACTGTTTCTCGAAAATGTTGACTGATACACTTACGTTTGACGACAAAAATAATTAATTCTGTAACTTAAACGAGGAGACACTGAACTACATTTATAATATTTAAAATATATACGACTCTGAAATTTCAATTTAGGACAACTTTGATAATAAAAAGTTATACTTAATTTTATGTTACACAAAGAAATGGTGATGGTGCAACAAATTATCATTTACAGCTTAATTATATGTTTAATTATTCATACATAACTATAGTATTTATTTTTGTACAGGACTCGACTTTTATTAAATCGATACATTACTTGAATAATAGATTTTTTAATTAATAAATATATTAGCAGAATTTGTAGATAAATTATAAGTTGTTTAAAATGATATGGTTAAGTTTAATTAAATTCAATTAAGAAAACCAATCACAAATATAGAGAATATAAAGTCAATAACAATGTGTAAACACGAATCATCGGTTCAACCTGTTTATTATAAATGTATGCATATTATTTTAATATTTTCATTGGATTTATTTTACGATTATTGTTTGTAATTATTTATAAAAATAATATATCGTTAATTAAAATAATGATGAGAATTACATTAACATTTAAACGATTGTTAAAATATTGTTACACAAGAATGTATGTACGTGTCTACAAATATCATTTAGATAATGAAAAGACAAATATCTGTTTTTGTTACTTATAATACAAAAAAGAATTTGAAATGAATATACCTTTGAAGACAATAAAATATCCCAACATGTTTCATTAAGTTCAACCAATTTAATAAAATTTCATACTCTTATAATTATTAATTCAATTATTTTGGAAAAAGTGTTATGTATTTATGTTTTGCAAAGCTCATGAGATAAGACTTACTATACAAAGTTTATAAAAGTAAAATTATGTATTTGTGGTGAAAATTAATCTATTAGAACACAAAAGAATGTAACTGTAAATAGACACATTATAATTCTGATGTGCCTCCAAAATAATTTTTAAATACTCTAATATAAATAATGAGGTCTTAACATATACTACCAAGTACTGCTTGAAAAAACTTACAAGTCCTATGTATTATAACAATGAATTACTAGAAACTTATTAAATAAAAAAAAAGTAACTGTACTTGGCTTTAGTGTCATTCTTTTACCAAAATAATTCTTGTTAATTGGAATCTTGATTTACAAATATAAAGTAAAATTAGACTTATAGGTACAAATAAACTGAACTACTCAAATATACTATAAGATATTTATTGTTTACTTATTGTTCTTTTACTTCACGTAATCTTCTAACTGCTGACCTAACAGAGGCAGCAGCTGTAGTTGAATAAACCCATGCACCTCCAGCAACTGTCCTCTTGCATCGTTTGCATGACCAAATTCCTACAACGCTCCTCTTCATCGCGTCCTGTAACACAAGACAATTATTTCACGTATGAATCATTCGCTATAGTTGTCAAACATATGAAACATTGAGCATAGCAATACTGAATAACACTTATAAAAGGTAATATTTACCTTGCCGCAAAATGTGCATGTGTATTTACTGTGTTGAGTGATCTCCATCTTTTTAACCATTTTTCTGAGGGAGGCACCATATCGGGTACCATACTTCCCGGTGATTCCAACCTTCTTTGTACGCTTAGCCTAACAAATAGGAATAAATTATAATTGTACATTTCTTATAGGTGTTAGGTTATGATGATTACATATTTGCAGAGATGTTTTAAAGGACATGAAGATCTTTTAGATTTTGTAAAAATGAACTAAATTAAACACGTTCGCTATTTTATTTCTATTTTATAAAACACTCTTTAGAAGTGAAAAATAGGAAGATCTTTAATGAAAATATAAACAACGTCATGTCACTACTTTAAGTCGCTACTTAAAATAATGATTTTGATCAACTACACAATATACATTTAAACACTTCGTCAGTAACGTTTTACAATGTTAAATAACAAACTCTGCCAATATTTATATAAGATTCACATAATATTTTTCAATAACAAATCTTACCATTTTGCGCAAATATAACGTTCGCTCCGCAAGAACCGGAAAAAGAAATAAATTTTAAAGTCCAATTCTCATCGCACGTACAAATCACCGGAAATGCGATACAATAGCGCGCACTTACAAAATGTGCGATTTTAAACTACGGATTATAAAAATGAAACTTGTGTAAATTTATGTAAAGTTTTTAATTAAATTCTTTTTCTCAACAATATTCAAGGAGAATTCAATTTTACGGTACGAGGAAAATAATCAATACAATTTCGTCCAAATTGTTTGACACGGCAACACACGAACATGATGAATAATGTAGTCTTAATTCATGAAAAGCAATTTTTCATGGATAGGTAACTGTTCAATTGACCTCAATATTTGTACAGTTAGATTTTAATGAAGTGTTTAGCGGTATTGCAGTTGCAATGAGCTCGTGGCTTCAAGAAACCGGAATTCGTTACATCAATGTGCATGAGAACACTCGAATACCGGCCTAAAGGTGCATTTAGACTAAGCGAGCGAATGCTCATTTTTCCCACGATTAAACAAAATTCAAGTGCAAACGAGCATTCAGCAATTGCTCGCCAGATCGGATGCCAAACGTGAAAGAATGCTCTAACAATTTGAAAAGATTTAATTTTTAAATAATTCAAATCAACATGCTTCGATTTTTGTCCTCCACAATTCGATACAATTTAATTCTAGCGTGATTCATTTCCGCATGATTCAGTCTGGCATGATTCAATTCACGCATTCCATTTGGCGCCTATCTCGAATCGATGCGATTTAATTTGCATGTTTTAATTCGAAGTAATTGAGGTAGGAAATGACTCAAATCGATTATTTGACATAATTCGATTTAATGTAATTTAATTGAACGTATCGAATATTTGAATGCTCGATTCAAATTCTACGAGCATTTGTTCAATAGGTTCGTGATCGAAAAGTGTGCTCGTCGCACGAGCGAATGCTCTTGTTCGTTTAGTCTAAACGCACCCTGAAATGACGTAGCCAGTGGATCCCAGACTAGCCAGACCTGTGCCCTGTGCGTGTTAAATCAGTGTTGCTTATTGCTGGCAATCTCCGAAGTAATCGTTTATAGTGATTCACCTATCACTATTAATCCGCGAAACTACTAATCGTGGCATACACCGAACAGAAGTGCCAAAGTGTCAATTGGTACGAAGGTGTTGGCTAACGATGGTTGTTAAAATCTACATATCGGGTATCAGCGGCAACAAGGAAGTGAGTGCGAAACACCCGTAGTGACCAAAGAATATAAAAATATTTTATCCGAGAACAGAGAAAGAGAGGGAGTAAAAGAGTGTGTGTGTATATTTGTGTGACTTGCAGAGAATGCCAGATTTACCGGGCACCTGAATTCTTACGATATTTCACGTCTACATTGTATCGAATTACGTCCGAAATTTTACGGTTCAAACGTCGATTTGGGATGAATGCTGTCAGACAACATACGGAACAATTTACCGCTCGAACCATTCATTTCACTTCGAAAATGCAACTTTCGTTTCGTTGGATATTTAGAAAGTGTATATTAGATTCAGTGAACGATAGGGTGGTTCCAAGTCTAATAAAAATATTAGAAGCGTTTACCGAAGGTATAGGATAGAATTGGAAATAAATTCATGACAAATAGAGCCGAAAGTTTTTGATAATTGAACGTTTTAATTGATGTTTTTCGTTCTAATTCGAATTCGTTATTTTAAGCATCGCTGATTTTTCTACTTTTGCTTTGATCTTGTTTCGTATCAATTCACGTGTATTTTTTATTACCGTTGTTAATACCGTTAGGTTTTAACGTGAGTAATGGTTGATGAAGATACAGCGACGTGTTTCTTGAAATCGATAATTGTTTTGTGTTGCACCACAGTGTGAAATAGCTAATGTTCTGTTATCAAGTTTTAAAGATAATTAATCATATTATTATTGTTACAGAACATACTTTCATGGAAAAATAACATGCTTAAAATGAGATCTTGCATTCTTTTTTTTTTCAGGTAAAAAAGAGGCAACAACGTGTTTTAATGATATTAGATAGTAAAAATGTGGAATATGAAATTATCGATATAACAGAACCAGGAAAAGAGCTAGAGAAAGAGTTTATGCAATCTAATAGTATTGCAAGAGAAAGTAAATATCCATTACCGCCACAAATATTTAATGAAGATGAATATTGTGGGGTAATTATTTTTATATCAGGCAATAAAACATTATAAGTAATTGAAAACTATATTTTCAAATTTTATATTTGATCTATAAATATTCTTGTAGGATTATGAGGATTTTGATTTGGCAAATGAAATAGATGAATTGGAACAATTTTTGAAAGTGGCGCCTCCTGCTAGTGCAACAGAAACTACTGTTGATTCGAATCAAAGTAAAGATATTCAAGAAAATGGGAATACAACAAGTCGAGAGGTATAAATTATGATTGATTTACCCTTGTTCAACACAGTGTAATTAAATGTTGATTACAGTTACATTTTTTAAAATGTGTATAACATTCGGTCTGTAAATGTCTAGTTACTTTTATTTACCTATTTTTGTCCTTGGAACTAAATTTGTACTGTGTTCAAACTAACTACTACATGTTTATTTTAGCCTTCCATAGATAAAGATGTAGTGACAGAACAGGTAGAAAGGTAAGCATTATAGACATATTGATTGCATTATTTGATAACTGATTGTGCAAATTAGATAATTGACATAACTGTACATATGTGTGAATAGAAACTACAAACTTGTTATTGTTATACATATATATGATTAATAATTTAAAAATAATATTTTGTCATCATAGCACGAAGGAGAGGATAACTTTACCAAATGAGTCAGATGAATCTAGACCTACAGAACATGATGGTGGAACAAAAGCTGAAGAGGATACAGAACATATGACAGAGAATGTTGAAAAAAATGAAGAGAAATCTGGTGATCAAGAGAAAGAAGAGTAGGTGTGAAATAAGCCCATATGATAGTGGGACATTCATATTTTTTTGACATACTTGGTTTTTTACCAGTAAGGGTATTTTATAAAAGTTATATTTATCACACTTCTAAGGCTGAGTGAAGGTACTGCCAAGATAAACTTCTGCTTTGCAGGAAACATGTTAAAGAAACAGTATAATTGAAATATAAGTGATACTTTTATAGAAATATTTTATAGTGCAATCAAGCATGTTTTCACCATCAGATTTTTAATAGGTCTGATTAAAAAATATGAATTAATTTCACTGTTTTTCATGTCGGTAGTTTATATGAACTTTTTTAATTCCTTATGATAATATTTTTGACCGTTTACGCTGTATTGTGTCTCTTACTTTTAACTTCAGTTTTAATAATGTTTTAGGAATAATAAATTTTCAGTATTGACGATGTTTTTGTTTTGTTGTTTACTAAAAGTATAACAAAGAATTTAAATAGATTTATTTTCATTTGAAATTGCTTAATTTGGTTTTATTTCAGATTTCTTATTGAATAGTCACCTTATAATTGTTTTTAATCGTTCACTAGATGCCTTTATATGTTTATCACTGATCTAACTTATGAACTATATTTGTACTGAAAAATGACTTCCATAAGTTGTACACAATTTCAGTTTTGGATTTTAGCCGAGATTTTAAATTAATATAGGTTTTTATTATACAAATGCGAATAAATTCAGACAGTACAACACTCAGTTTTGCATGAAATGCAACTTTTACAAAAGACGACACAAAATTAGTTACGATAATCTTTACAAGAACCGTGCGCACTAATATTTCATTATGGTCAAGTACGTCCTAAAATAATTCTCGATACTATTTCCATGAAGGTTAGAATTAATTTAGAAGATTTCTTAGTTTTGCGTAATCTATCTCATAAAATTGCGATTTAAGTTGTTATATTTATAATGATCCTATTCTTATTATTACGAATCTAATTTTGAAAAGAACTGAATATAAAACCAGTATAGATCAATTTCTAGTGATAGAGAGTATTGAAAGTCTTCGACTCATTTGATCAAAGGCCTATTTGCGATTGTTTCTACGAAAATTGATATCGATAAAATATGTTTAATCATACTATATTACCCATTTACACGGCTTGCAATAGATTTACTTACTTGCTGATCAGATAATAGGCAGGTACTCATTACGAACAAATCAAAGCTTTATGCGAGTTATGAACCATTTGTTAAGGGGCGAAATGAGCTATAAAAAAAATAAAATTCATGCACGAGATAATAAGCCTGACTAATTTTAATATAACATACCGCAGCTTTTAAATATCAGATATCTGCTGTTATAATTAAGCTAGCAAACAAAACAATAAAAAGCTTTAGTATTTTCAAATTGAGATGTCCACCTCGTTATTATTACAGAATTATATATTCATAAGCAATAGGTGTTGGACATGAAATTAGAATTAATAAATTTTAACATTACATACTGGAAATATATAAGTTTATATTTATGAGAACAATATTCATTATACACGATGTATATGAATCATATCGATCATTGTTATACATATATATGAATCTACTAATAAATATCATTACAGAAATTGAAATATCTGTCTAAATATTTTTGCACATACATCTTTATAATTTAACAAATAAATATATTGAAATACATATGCTGTAACGTAATAAATTTATAAAATTTTGATTAAGCATCAAAGAATTTAAGCTACATTTATTCATTCCAAAAATGTATTTTATACAATTTGGTAAGTAATATGTCACTAATACAAATATGTCATGTATGTTCTGCTTTTATTCGATCATGAACCAATGAATATACTTTGTAATCTTACATCTCAAATTTGCAGACAGAAAAGTACTTAACGTTGTATCATAAATATTAGAAATACTATTGTTATCATATTAATCTTCTTAATAAAATATTTATTTTTTATATTAACAATAATCAGATGACTAGCGTTGTTAATACGTGTAAAAATAAAATATCTGCGCTTATAAGTAGCTCGCAAACGTTTAGAATTTTAAAATATAGATTTCGTTGAAATGTAAAGCATGAATTAATTAGATCTAAACTAAAGAAACACGTCAAATGTATATTACACTCGAACATACATTCCTCAGGTTTTTTCTATCCAATCAATAAAAATTTATTCGTAAATAAAACTAAAGTCTAATTTATGTGAGATGTGTAAAATATAAATTCTTCAAATATCTTTTCCTTGTACGTTTGTAGTCTCTCTTACGATGAAACGAGAACACCCTGAAAACAATAATTGTCAACGCGTTTTGTATGATATTTCTATAAATTATGTATGAAATATTTGTCTACAACAAAATATATTCTCAAATAATTTGTATAAATGTATCAACTATAAAATGGAATTTGTTTATTTTAAGAAAGAAATATTTTTTCAAATCTAAAACTTTACTGCAGTGAACTATCTGAATTAATTAAGAACCGATCATACAAATTTGTAAAATTAATCAAGAAATTCTAGTACAAATTAAAATACTAACAGATGACTTTTTATCGCGTTCCGAAAATATTTAATACAACATAATTCATGTTTAAACAATAGAATAAAAAAGTTTTTTTGTATAAATTTAAATGAATAACAAAAAAATAAATAAAACGTGTATTATTTTTATGATGTTGCGTTTATTCTGGATCATTTATGTTAGGATTAATATTTGCCGTGCATTTTTATTCGTACATCTCAATGTATACATATTACACAATATTTTTATCGATATACATTCATTCTGAATGTAGAAATTATGTTACTAAATGTTGAAAAGTATTTTGAAATAACTTATGGCATAATAAATGTACAAGTATTGTCTGTAATAACAGATACTTGGATACACTAAATTGACATAATATAATGCATAGAATTCACGCATGGTTTCTAAACATGATTTTAAAAATCATAATTCTAGATACTGTAATGCAGCTTTCATAGAGGCACATTACATTGAATTTAAAATTCAAATTTTACTTGGTTCGTGATAAACACGAAAACAAAAGTACTATACTAAAAAGAAATAAAAATAACAGTAATTATTTTTAATATAAACATAAAAAATATACTATTAAAAAGCTGCATAATCAATTCTAGACACCATTCAACAGTCACGCAAAAGATCTGATTTATATAAGTAAAAGTAATATTCATCAATTTGTGTTTTGACACGTCTAGTAATTGTAAGTTAATATATATTTTAGTAACATTTAATTATGTTACTAAATATTATGCAATAACCAACTATTAAGTTACTAAACATTATTCAGTAACACATAAAAAACATGAAAGGCAACCCTCATTTTATCATAAATTGCTCTTATTCTTGTATATATATCACTATCTATTAAAAATTAAATGATCATTGATATTTGTACCAATGACACTATCACACATCATTTTAATGAATGCAATTAAAATTAAAAATTTATATGCAATTGAATTTTATGCTAAAATCTGTACATAATTAAACGCTAGTACTGTACATTGAAACAAATAAAATTTCGATTGTGAATAGAAAAAGTCTAAAATCCAGTTGTTAATGATGTGACATATATTAATACAAGAAATAGTGTTTACTAATAAGTTAATTATTAAATATTCTCATTTTGTCGTTACATGGTAATTATTTCTTTTTGCGATAAAAATATTTATATCTGTTTTAATATATAATACTATCTGCATGCACACTCGATAATGAAATAATGCTCGAATTTTATTAATTTGGCATTTCAACATTGGATTGTGTTTCCAATGTAAAAAAATGAACTTTTAATAAACACAGTAATAGACAACAATACTCATCAAATCAAGATTAGAAATGCACTTAAAATCGATATGTTTAAAAAAAAATTAAGTTTATAACGTGTAAAATAATTTTTTAATGTTTAATTGTACAACTATTTCAATTGAAAAATTGGTTTAAAATATTACTTGCACCTGTAAAAGGAGTGCTATTATTATGCACATTGTACCTTTAAATATTGCATAAAAGTTGTGCTTTATCTCAGACAACAAAATGTTCTACAATACTTTAGTTTTTTTCTTACAATTGTATCGAGAACCTCAAAATTACTTATATATGCAGTTCATAACAACTGCACATAAGTACCTATTGTAATTAAAATATGCAGTATTTTAATTACTGTAACTTACATTACAAATGAAATATCATTTATGCTAACAAAAAAAAAGAAAACTAAAACTATTAACTATGAACTCGTATAATGTTTGAAACAATTATACTTTATAATTCCATAAACTCGCACGTTCACGAATTTTTTAACATTTCTGAGAACTATGTCACGTATATATTATAACTGCAATACAATATTGAAACAGAAAAAGAACAAAGTTTGTTCATAACTGTTAAAGCTTTAGTACTTTTCACTGGAAATATAGTGTTATTAACATGTCTTTGTTATGACCTATTGTTCCCGTAACTACATGTTCTGTTTGTAGAAATACTTGTTTTTTTTTACTGAATAGAAAACAAAAATAAAAAAATGTAATTCATATATTATGCCAAAAAGAAAATCCATCAATGTGTACGTAATGAATTTATCTTGGTAATAATAAACCATGTTACTTACAGTTTTACATTAAGTAAAATCAGTCTACAGAAGGTTTACATGATCTCATGAATACTTAAATTTATATGGATTCAATATCTTTAATATATTTTCTTCTGTTAAACGCATAAAAGTAGAGTAAAACTAATTGTTTTGTTATTCAAAAATGTATACTAAATTATAAACTGCGCGATTCACATTAAAAAAAAAACTATAGAATGGTAAAACTTTTATATTCATGTGATTAAAATTAATTGTAATAAAAATGAATCTGCAATTTATGCATGAAGATAAATGCTTTCATGAAATATTACATAATTTTATAATACTGCATTGCCAAAATTACATGAAAATTTTTTATTTCTAACTTTTCTGGTATTTTTTACTTGATATTATGCTTCTGTTACATAGTATTTTGTACTACTATTTTTTATAATCATCTTGACGATTATAAAATTGTAAACTGAATATAAAATTAAATAATGTATATGTATTTACATAGAATTATAACCCATGTAATTTAAATCTAAAATAAAGTAACAATTCTATTAATTTAATTATGCATAAATATTGTGATGCATGTTCTGATAAAAAGACATCAGTATTTAATCATTTAAATAATATGTAGCAGGTACAAATTATAATATGTATTAAAATATGACAGTATAAATTATGCATTTATGTGAGCTATCTATATACGTTTTTACTTTTTCATGTACTGAAGTCAATAATTTAAAAAACTTGACAGTAATATAAATAGAATGTCAATATTTGAATTTTTTTAATGCTTTAATCTAATTCTATTATTATGTATCATGTGAACCTTCTGTGACTGACATTTTATTAGTTTATATTCCTATTGTAGGTACTAACTTATTAAATAATATACTAATAAAATTTAATTAATCCGTACCAAAGTATTTCTGTCCAAAATGATTTGGGGCAACACTATGTATCTCTGATGTTAAAATCTTCATCTGTAAATGGAAATTTTATACAGAAAGTTAAAATGTGCATAAAATAAAATTTTATTAAATTAATATCTTTTACATGAAGGATTCACTCACCTGAGGAAAGGCAGTGACTAGAGATTTGGCTGCAACTGGAGTGCAAAACAGATTTGATAAAATAATATTCTCTTCAAGTACATTATGTTCCTTCAACACTGCCATTGCTTTGATCACAGTATTTCCAGTACCTTTAATTAGTTCATATCTTCATTATTACATTTTTAGTAAAACATTAATCACTACAACTTAAAACTATGTTCTTACTCATTATTGGATACATTAATAAAACTTTTCTTTCAGATATATCATCTGGAAATTTGGCATAAACCACTTTGGCTTCATGTGTATCTGCATCACTTTCGACTAATATCTTACCAATTCTAATACTGCGACAACAATCTCTTAAACCCTATAAATTAAGTTATTAACACAATTAAAAAACATCAATTGATAAATATTAAATTTATATTGTACCTGTTCCATTGCTTCTCCACTTCTGATTATTGACACTCCACAATTTCCCTTTTGATATTTTAAGCCATTGTATTTGGCTCCTGTTGGTGTAGTAACCACACATTTGGAAAAAGGTAACTGATTTAAACTTTCTTCTATAACCAGCCTTATCTGAAAATTTGTTTAGAATTCTATGTTACAACACGTGCCGACGTAAAGCAGAGTGATATAACGTGCGGTGATATAACATACGGTGATATAACGCGCGGCCATATAACGTACAATCATTCAACGAGTGACGATACATTGCATGGTGATATAATGGAAATCTATTATAATGGTTTTCAATATCAATTTTTACTCTAGGCTCTAGAAACTTAATGTGCCGGTTCTACCAAAGATTACAATAATAAGAAAAAGACTCACCAGACGATCGGCGTAGAACTTAAAGTCACTCCTTGTGGTATTTCTGTAAACGGAGATACATCGTGTCCATCAAATTTGTTTAATTGTAAAGAAACGACACGGTAGACCGGCAATGTGCCGGCATTTAACTATAAAAAACGTGCTTTTATACACGCACACCAAATGATTCACAGTGTCATTTTACTTACTTATCTCGCAGTATAGTCTGCAATTCCTTCACTTGATTGTTACATGGAAGAGTTTTCAAATTTGGACCATAAGTATCACCGATATCATTGCTTTCGCTTAATTTCTTCGGGATCGATGTTACCTCTGTACTACCCATGCCTGACTTTTTACACGCATCTATTTTCCACGTTAATCAAACGAAGGACACTGCTCGTATGCACGTATGCATCAGTATGTTACGATAGATCAGCAGATTCAACTACCATTAACAAGGCAACTAATAGAGACTTGATTTTGCAAAGGAACTAATGATGCTAGTGAGAAAGATGAATAGTGGTATTAGAAAACCAAAGTCGGTTGTCTTAGTTTTTAAACAGGAGTAGGTGTTAGAATGAGTTGATATTTGTATTTTTTTCGACGTCATTAAAATTATCAATTATATAATTAAATACTTTGGTATTTAAAAAAAAATTTTGGTTAATATAATTTTATCAAAGTAACACGGCTTTCATGGATTTTTTATCTATACACAAGTAAACAGACCTATATATGCAAAGTAAATTATAATTGGAGTAACGTGCACCAGTCTGTTTTGTTTTAAAAATGGTTTTGGTGAAAATTGATTCCATTGCGCCTCTAGGCAGAGCGCTGAATTGATCAATATTTAAGTATTTAAAAAAAAATTTATGTTGAAAGCAGAGAACGTTTTAAAGTGCAGTAGAAATGTCTCATCCTTTCGCATATTTGCCCTCACAAAGAAGTCATGCACGTCGGAATAAATACGGTAAACTATGTTATTAAAATAAGTAATTAAGATAATTATATGTTTATGTACTTATGTATTTGGAATTGCAAGATAGATTGTAACTTTTTTTGTTTTTAACATTTGATAAAATATAAGGTTAAAAAATGCGACATACAAGTATTCATAAACATTATAAGAATCTTATAATTTAGTTAGGTTAGATATTTTAATTTGACATTAACCAAGTAAGAAGATTAAATATAATAATTATATGTATTTTCTTTTTAAATTTTGTATCTACAATATTGTGTGTTATAATTGTTATATAGGGAACAGAGTTGAAGGTTCTCAATCTGAAAATTCACATGGCGAACATCATAGTGCTCCACGAAGTAGAGGACCAAGACATCCCCCCTGGTTAAAGGGCAAAGAAATAGGACTGTTTTATAGAGATGAGGCTATCAAAAAAGCAAAACAAAAATTGCAACAAGTGCAACCTATCATTAAACTACCATCACATCTTGAAGCTAGCATCGAACATATAATAGAAAAGTCTAAGGGATATTATGATACACTATATAACAATGAGGCATACAAGAATTTTGCAAATAGTGTGTTGGAAAATAAATATGTTCATATTCATGATTCTCAATTTAAGAGAAAGTTTTTAAATATAGTATCTGGTAATATACAAGAAAATCTTGCCAAAGCTTTACTTGTTAAATCAGGATTAGAAAGAGATAGTAACATAGATGTACAATTATTAAACGAGTATAAAGCTAAGCAGTCTTCATCAGAATATGAGACAATGATGAAATGTCGATTAAAATTGCCATCGTATAAGAAAAGACCAGAAATATTACAATTGCTCAGAGATAATCAAGTTGTTGTAATAAGTGGAGAAACTGGTAAGTCATGCTTAGAATCTTTTTGTGACTTATATATAACTATTTATGTATGTATTTTAGGTTGTGGTAAAACAACACAAGTTGCTCAGTTTATATTGGATGACCAGATAGAACAAGGCAATGGTAGCATTACCAAAATTATTTGTACTCAACCTAGAAGAATATCAGCTATATCTGTTGCTGAAAGAGTTGCTGCTGAAAGGGCAGAAAGACTTGGTAGATCTGTCGGTTTCCATATTCGGCTGGAAAAGTATATTGTTACTTTATTTCTTTTATATTTATTTAACTTATGTTCTATTATATCTTTTCCTTTTATAGAACACTACCAAGAGATAGAGGAAGTATATTATTTTGTACTACAGGAATGTTACTGCAATTTATTCAAGGTGACCCTGCCTTAAAAGAGTTTTCTCACATAATATTGGATGAAATTCACGAACGTTCCACAGACAGTGATTTCGTTATGGCTGTGTTAAAATTAATTATTCCTAAGGTATATATAGTAATATTTACTTTTAGGTCGAATGCAACGAAACTAATATATTCTCTTTAATTATGTAGAGACCAGATTTGAAAGTTGTTTTAATGAGTGCGACACTTAACTCGGAAATATTTTCAAAATATTATAATGAATGTCCAATGATTCATATCCCAGGTTTTACCTATCCTGTGGAAGAATTTTATTTGGAGGATGTTTTGGCATTCACAAGGTAACATTTCTTGCACTTTACTTCAAATTGTTAGTTGGAAAAAATTATAATGCACATTAATTTACAGATTTGAATTCCCTACACCGATCGGCATTCCCCAAGATTATAAAAAACGCGGGAAAAAATATGAACAAATACAACAGTCAATTGAGTTTTATAAATTCATAGAACCACACATACGCAGACTTGCATCTGAAGTAAGTGTCACTCTTATATGAAGGATCGATTTATATATGTTTATTATTTCTTTAATTTTATTGCTTATTAATTATTTTTATCATTATATAGAAAAGATATTCGGCACAAGTAATTGGTCAGTTGAGAAACCCAGAGAGTGAAAAGTTATCCATTAATCTTATAGAAGAGTTGATTAGGTATATCTGTAGAACACAACCACCAGGAGCTATTTTAGTTTTTCTTCCTGGCATGATGGACATAGTAAATTTACAAAAAAGAATGATAGAAAGTAGACAATATCCTGAAAGTAAGTGTATTTAATGAACATAATATATATAGTTTTTAATATCTATAACAAATTTATAATCTAAAAAATTGTTTGACATATAGGTCAGTTTGTTATTTACCCTCTTCATTCTCTACTGCCAACTATTGAACAAAAACTCATATTCAGTGAACCGCCTGACGGAATCCGAAAAATAATCATTGCAACTTCTATCGCTGAAACTTCTATAACCATCGAGGATGTGGTGTACGTCATTAATTGCGGGAGAACTAAGTTTGGAAAATTTGATGTAAAGAAAAATATACAAACTTTAGAACCTGAATGGATATCTCTGGCAAACGCGAAGCAAAGAAGAGGTAGAGCAGGAAGGTAAGATAAATAGTATTCTAAAATATTGATCTATTTATTTTAAATATTTGTTCGAATAATCGTATTTTATTTCTTTAGAGTAAAGCCTGGTTATTGCTATCATTTATATACAAAAGCCAGAGAAATGATGTTCGATCAGTATCCATTACCTGAAATGTTAAGAACACAATTAGAAGAGGTTATTCTACGTATAAAAATTTTACAACTGGGGAAAGCTAGATCATTTTTGGACTGTGTTATGGATCCACCAAATTGTCAAGCTATAGATTTATCTTTAGATTTACTTAGAACTCTTAATGCATTGGATAGTGATGAAAATTTGACACCTTTGGGATATCATTTAGCGCAATTGCCAGTTAATCCACGAATAGGTAATATTTTGTTTGTAAGCATAATTTAATTATCTTTTGCCAATAATGTTTTTATTTTTTTTTTAGGAAAAATGATTATATGGGCAGCATTATTTTCATGTGTTGAACCTGTGTTTGCTATTGCAGCAAGTCTTAGTTTCAAACATGCATTTTACTGCCCTCTAAGAAAAGAGGAAGAAGCAAAGCAAAAGAAACTTGAGCTTAGTAACGGCCAATATAGCGACCATATAGCATTAGCTGAAGCATTGAGGAGATTTGAAAATTTATATAGAAGAGGAAATGCTGGTTATTTTTGTAGAGACTATTTCCTCTCATTTAGCACATTGAAACTTCTTTCTGAAATGAAGTCTCAGTTTGTTCAACATTTATACGAAATGAAATTTTTGGACTCTGCAAATCCTAGAGATGCAAGCGTCAATAGAAACTCTAATAACATAACTTTGGTGAAATCAATAGTATACGCCTGCCTATATCCAAACGTTGCAGTTGTTAGGTACGTGAAATTTTGAACATAATTTAACAAATATTGTAAAGTTAATAAGCATTACATTACGCCTATTTAATTTGCGTTTACAGAGATGTTACAAGAAACGGAACACTTGCGTGGACTGCAGAAGATGGCCGAGTTGTTATACATCCTATGAGTGTAAATGATAAAGTTCAAACACTTCCTAGCCGCTTTATTACATATTTCACGAAGCAACGTTCAACAGCAATATTTTTACATGATACTACTTGTATTTCCGGATCAACTCTTATATTCGCTACTCCAAACATGAGGATAGGTACGTTACCAAATATTTTTTATTGTATTGTATTCATTCTTTTCTAATGTTCTCAATTTGCAGAAGTAGAAAAAGGAAAGCATTTTATCACTCTACCAACTCTACCAAATTTTGAAACTTTCCGTTGTGATAAACGAACTGCTGAACTCATTCAGGTATATAAACATATAAAAATTTAAGTTTTGGCAATCATAATTTACTAACTTCTTTGCTCGATTGTAGGAACTGCAACGGCATTTCAAAAATATATTAGAGTATAAAATTACACATCCGGGAACAGTAAACTGGGATAGTTACGAAGGAAACTTCCTAAAGTGAGTTTTATATATTTAAGTTTAAATATTTTCTTTCGAAACACTAATGTTGTTTATTTGATCTTAGCTTGTTCATAGAGGTGATCTGCCAACCAGACGAGAGTATAGGATTATCCACAAATAATACTTCTAATAGTTGAATATTATTTAATAATTTATTTAATAAGTATTATGATTATTGCTTCAGAGTGTATCGAAGTAATTTCGTAAATTAAATATTGAGTCGGTTTTCTATTAAATTGATAACGATCATTAAGTAATATAATTCATTGAGTATAGTTTTATTATATCAATAAATAGTCGGAAGCGAATAAAACAATAGAATTATTATCAAGTATGTAATATAATAAAAAAATAAAATATATAGAAAAAACAAATAAAAATAGTACAATGATTAAATTTAATAAAAAATTGATTTTTCAAGTTTATAAGCATTCGAATGATCAATTTTTTAAATTTCCAAATTTGAAATTTGGAAATTTGGGAATGGAGAAGTTGATCGTTACGAATGTCCGCGAATGACCGTCACTTGGACGACTTCGCGGGCACCGTTTCCTGCACTACTTTCCACTAATCTGTATCGAACAATAGCCGGATGCTTTCTGTAACAAAAGCTCGAAGAATTTCGAGAATAATCCTCCCCGCCGTAGCCGCTTATTCGCGCCGTGTCGCCAGTAAAAATGAGTCTGGGGTCTGGCACGAGCTGATAGCCACCACGAAGCGACGTAAATAGGGGTGGGGGTAAGCGAAAGAGACCGAGCGCGAAAGAGAGAGGGTGGATATAGGAGGGACGTGTTCCGACAATACACGAGCAAGGCACGTAGCGTTCGATTCAGTCTGCATCCGACCGTCGCGAGTGTCGCGTCGCGAAGCTGTGCTTGAACTTCGGGGGGGAACACGAGACTCCGATCCAAGAGTCAGTTGTGCGAGTGCGCGTGATACAACATCACGGTTCCTTATCCCGTATCTAGCGTACACCCTTTCAATTCTTTCGAATCTAATTTCCCCGTTCTTTTTAACTACGTGATCGCGAACGGTCGAGAGAAAAATCAGTGAAAAATCGTAGAGGCGCGTTAGAGAGAGAAAAAGAGAGAGCGGGTCACTGAACGACCGCACAAAGGTAGGAAGAGGGAGAACGAAAAATAAAAGAGGGACAGAGAGGGATTTTCGTCGCGACGTATACATACATACACGTGCGGACCCGAGGAGAGACGTGAATACGCGCGTGCGCACCCGCGTACATACACATACACGTACACGGACGAAAGAGAAAGACAACGACGACACGGGCGCAGGAAAAGAGGGAAGAGAGCCAGTGACACCGGGAGGGTCGGGTGTTCCTCGTGCAAAACCGCCACCGGAATATATGTCGTGAGTGTGTACGGCCAAAGATCCGCGGATAGAGGCCGGCGATAGTGCGCGCAGGGCTTTAAGGAGCGAAAAAAAAGAGGCAAACACGACTCCGGGTGAAAAGCAATGCGGGTTCATTGACTGCGTGCCGCGCAATGGCCGCATGTTCGTGGCCGATGCACAATGCATGTGTGACAGGAGCTACGAGGAAGAGGACGACGACGAGGCCGAAGATATCGGCTCCGGCTAATATCGAACTCGAGACCTACTAAAGTTTCCTTCCACTTTCCGTACCATCGGGAACGTGTACTTCGATTGGGAGGAGCTCCGATAACGACCAGCAACCCGTTGGAATTTATCGCGTTTTTCAGGTAAGGCTTTTCCGAAATCGAACGATTTCATTTTTAGCGCTATAAACGTCGTTCAATTCGAACTTCGAATATGTAGTTTCAAGCTTTTTTGAATTTATTTGTTTTTTCGAGAACGATCAGGTGTAAGCTTTCTTTAGTTAAGGGTGGGAGTCTCTTTACTTTCGATTTTCAGTGAAGTTATCTACGTCACGTTTTATGTCAGTATCGAAAGGGATTATGGGAATACTTAACCTAATTATTCGGTAAAATTTGGAGTCTGCAAATCTGAAGTAATTCCTGTAGGACTTATCTAGGTTTTTTTAAAAAAGTGCGTTCATAACAAGATCGTTATTTTTTCAAAATAATTGAGACGTAGAAAACCTTATGTAGATAAAGTTTTCCAAAATCTCACACTGTACTCGGGCGTCCGTGTGTGCCACTTTAAGAGTCGGTGGCGAGATGTAATTTCGTCTCTCATTCGACGCGTAAATACCCGTTATTAAAATTGAGTTTCGACTAGAGCAAGTGTGTCCCGAGTAGTATCAAGGGCGCAGGGTCATTCACAGTGGCCGGTGTTTTCTCGTGAACGATCTTGTTCGGTACGTCTCGTTCTAAGAATGTCCTGATTGCGACCGTTAATTTCTTTTCTTTTTCGAATCGACTCTGCGTTATCTTTTCGAGTTTTCCCGAGAGCCTACTCATATTTTCACGAGTCGTTTTTTCAACGTTCGATGGAGTCGATGGGTAGCCGCGTTGCTGTAGGCGTTCCAAGAAATTCCATCGTGACACCTAATGTCTCCGACGATGTAAACAAATGTTTCTCGCGGTTCGAGAACATTGTTCTCGGTGACCAGGGTCTGGGTTAGGGAAGGACGAAAGATTTAACAGATATCTCTCGTTAAAAATTAACTCCTTTACGACGAAGGACAAATACGTGAAGGACGCGTACGTCATTCTTGTAATGGCCTTATCACCAATACGCCGACCTTACCTACCGTAGGTATTATAAACGTCACATTTTCGTAATAATACTTAATTGGACAGTTGTCGCAGTACAATCTTCTTGCTCCGAAAATATACCGGGAAAGTCTTTTAATCGCTATAGTACTTTAGGGAAAATAACTACGTTATGTGGCATTATAATAATTATACCGGTTAATTTTTTAATTTATTCCGAAAGTACGTGCTGCGAAGATTGTCGCGGTTATAACAGGTATCGGAGCACGCGATACCGCGTGTGCTCCTTGTAAACTGAATCACGCAAATAATAAACGGCAGTAAAAATGTGTGATCGTAATCGAGAAATGTCCGATCACGCGATATCGCGTGCTTGGTTCATTAAGTTCATGAACCTTTCTAATTTGGTATCTAATCAGCGAACGATAGACTTTGTCACGAGTCGACGATGCGTTATCTTTCTCTCGTCTCTATTTTCATAGTTTCTGAAAATGCGGAGAGGCCATTTAAATAACTGAGCTAACAGATAGGAAAGAAGTCTGGAGAACGATTGCGTAAGCGTGGGACAACAGTTAATCGATGGCGTTTTCACAAATTGTTGAAAGAATCGTAAAACCCGTAACGATAATTGAGAGGCGATACGAAAATGTTTCGTCGCGTACGAATTGCCTCTCGGTTTCGATTTTGGTAACAGACGGTTATCGATCTAGAGTGCGCATATTTTTAACGGTTGTTTATTTAATGTTCGAATGTCGGCTACGTACGATTAGGCAGTTGTAGCGTTTGAAAGGTACAACAACTTTGCGCTTTGGAACAAATCCAACCGGTCGGCTTGTGTATTCTAATCGAGTAAATCAGGATAAGTACGTGTTTTTGCTTGATCCGATGGCGAATTAATTAGCCGGCGGATATGCAGGCAAATTCAATCGCGCGGCTATGCCGACATTCTTAACCGGTCGTTTGGATTGTTTACATCAGACTCGTGTGTTATCGAATAGGTTATCGTTCCAACCAATTATGAAAATATTGTTTACACGCCGTTTTTAAAATATCACCGAGCGACTATATATTATATATATAGACGTTCGCAATTTTCACCGTGTAAACAATCGTGGATTACTCGAATGAAATTCGAATCTCGCGGGGCCACTAACCGGCGTTAAATTAATAGTCGACGGTCATCGAAATTCAAAGTCGTAATCTCGTTCGTAGTTATCGACCGTTGGTGTTCATTGATCTCGTTGTTTAACAGACCGAGATCATTGCACCCGTGACACGAAACGTACTACTCGCTATGAGATAATTGCTCTTAATCGTCGTACATTCTCATTGATAATAGTCCTTACTAAATATATCTTTAAGGCTCATTAAAAAATTCTCGCGATATAGTTTTCGTGTTCTTTCTTTTTTTTTGTTGCTCGGAACGTTTAAAAATTTTAATATTTCGTTTAGGTTCTTTCTAGGTTTTTTTTAATTTTCTCAATTTCTAGGTTTTGCAAGATTATCCAGATGTTCTTAGGTCACCTTACCTCTCTCGATTTTACTACCATTCATTCAGTTCATTTTAGAATTCCCTAGTAACTATATAGGTCTTCTCAGAATTTCCCCAGGAATTTCAGTATTCCTCGACATCTGTCTAGGTGATCTTAGAATTCCCTAGAAGATTGAGCACTCTCTAGCACACAAGTCTAGTATCCTAGGGACCCTAGAATTTTTGGAGATTCATCTAAGAATTCTAGAATTCCCTGAGAGCTATCCTGGTGATTATGAGATTCCCTAGGAGCTCTAGACTTCCCTAGTGCCTATTAGGTTATCATAGGATTTCTGTAGGAAGTCTAAAATTCCCTAGCACTGATCTGAGTTATTTCAGTATTCACCTAGGCACTTTAAAATTCCCTAGTATCTATTTAGGCTATCTGAGATTCCCTAGGAGCTCCCTAGAATTCTAGAATTCCTTGGTGGCCACTTAGGTAATTATAGCATTCCTGTAGGAATTCTAGAACTCCCTATCGTTAATCTGGGTTACTCCAGTATTCACCTAGGTACTCTAAAATTCCCTAGTACCTGTCTAGGCTATCTCAGTATTCACCTAGGCACCCTAAAATTCCCTAATACCTATCTAGGTTATCCCAGTATTTACCTATTCACCCTAGGATCACCTAGCACCCATCTAAATCACCCTAGGATTCCCCTAGGAATATCTGTTCACTATTTCAACTCAGTATTCCCCTAGATTCCCATATTATTTCCCAGCACTAACGAGCTATTTAATATCCCTAGACTCCATATAATCCCCATAGGTTCCCTTAGTATTTCAGTAAATTATCCAAGGTGTTTCCAGTCCCCTAGAATAACCCTCCTCTAAATTTAATAAATACGACCCAACAAATTTTCTGTGAGTCCCCTACTATTAACTTGCAATTTATCGATGTACCTACAACTCTCACAAGAATTATTCTAACTTCACCCACATTCCCAGATTTGTCTCAGGTATATACCATAAACTTTCATTATCACAAATTATCAGCATAGCCGTTGTCATCGAGTTGTCAGGTAACCTTGTCGATCAACGTTTACGCATGAATTAACGGTATTGCTTTCGCACATACCGGTATCATAACCTTCCTCAATGTTCACGATTTCGAACAGGCAGCGGCCATTAATCGTAGTCACATTGGTACTAATTCCACGTTCGAAGGTTGACACGCTTGACGAAACCGTCGAACGGAAGTGGAAAATGTCGCCTCGTCGAATCAGGACGTTTTGGCGCGCGCGACGGCCTGGCCGTGAAATTAAAATCGTGTCTTAAGATGGTTCGACTAATTAGGAACACTTGTCAAAATCATCCGGAGGATGTCCACGGTATACGAGGCTCCGGTCGCTCATCCGTGACTAATGCCTGGCAGGTGAAAATTGGCGCGATGTAAATATGGGACGAGTTCTCATGAGTGCCTGTCGCGTATGTCCACTCGATTTACCTCGTCAGCCTCGAACGACCGACCTAACCGTCTCACCAAATTCTCTTGAATCGCTGATAAATCTCTTCGATAAATAACCACGATTTGCAGATGATCGTGTCTCGTCCGAGAAATTTCCTTAGTTGCTTTAAGAATATATTGCTACTTCAGTTCTTGCAAATTTGGCAAATTATTCTTTGAGACCTCCTCGATCATCGAGAGTTTAGGAGATAATTTTGAGGTCTTTAAAATGCATTAAATTATGTCGTTAAAGAGTTTGTTATTAAATTATGCATAGTAGTGGACAAAAGTGTCTTTGAATTTTTGTTAACTTTTGCTGTAGTGTTTTTGTGAAGTGGACTATAAATTGATACAAATTTTAACGATGTCTCTTCGAATTGTTCGAATAAATTATTTAGAACATTCTACTAAACCTACCGGCATATAATGTGTACTTAATTTGAAATTGAAAACGAAATTAAAAAATAAATATACAAACGACAGAACATAAATTAGTACACGCATTTATTCTTTGTCTTGATGAACATTCTTCGTTAATACTAAACCTACCGGCATATAATGTGTACTTAATTTGGAATTGAAAATGAAATTAAAAAATAAATATACAAACGACAGAACATGTATTAGTACACACATTCATTCTTTATCTTAATGAAAATCAATTATGATTTTAAAGAATGTACTTTAACACTAGATTTTGATGGTCACTTTTATTTAAATGTACCTAAAGTAGAAAAATAAATAAATTGCAGATGATATGTGAACTGCCTAAAACATTGATTCTTATGCTGAAAGTTGACATTTTTAAAAAAATTTCTTAACAAATTCTGTCATCTAAAATGGACCTATTATCCGTCATTTTTACGGGTTCCGTAAATCTAGTGTTAACAAAATGAGTACCTTATAATAAGAAACTTGTGGAGCGGTCATTTGAAACGTTTGGTAGTTTTAGCGTTAAAAGTACTTTAGAAAATCAACAGTGTTCGAGTTCTTCCAAGAATGATTAATTACAGAAAATAGCGTGATGCGTTAGAGTAATAGTTACCTAATCAGTTAACAACGTAAAAAGTGAAACCTAAAAATGAATCAAAGCGGTCATTTCGAGCGATGCAGAATGGAATATCGATTACGCAACGTTGGATCGAAATGGGTGAAAAATAGCGATGCCAAAGATAATATCGCGAGTAAAACTTGGCGTTCTGTTTTTGTTGGCCTCGTTGCCGGCAGCCGATTACTCGGCAGACACGATTACCTTCGCCAGTAGTAATAGACGATTATGAATGAACGCGATGCTGCGGCTAGTCACGCGCACAAACGTTCGTTGTAAACGGTAGCGCAGCATTCTCGGCGAATATCAGATATGCTCGAGTAGAATAGACTCGCTCGTAATTCTAAACTTACCGGCCGTGGGTCGTATTAAAATGGTCTCGGTGCGACGACGAACAAACGTGCCGTGGCTCTTTACTTCATCGCGAATAGACAGCGCGTTGAAAATAGAGGCACTTGACATTCTGCTCGTTTCGCTTCTCTCATTTTTCAGATGGTTATAAACTTCCGATCATAACGACTTTTCTCGTTTCGCCGGACCCTCTTTTGCCAAATATCAGTGCGGTACTTCGAGTTATGGTCTGCTGGCGAAACTACACTCTAATGGTGAAATAACAGTACGATAGTTGCTTTTAATAGCAAAACAGTACGTAGTTACTTCTAACAACAGTACCAGTTATTTTTAACAGTAAAATGGTACGTAGTTCTAACAGCGAAATATTTGCGGTTAAAAACTGTTTAGAACTGTGTCTCATTCTGAACCTCTTAAATCTAAGTTCGTCATCGAAAGCGTAATTTGTAGTCGTTCAAACTTTCCACCATTATCGTACATATGGAATCATGGATATGTTCGTAATTTCCGTCCTGACTCTGGTTTAATAGACACTAATGGTACCAAGAAAAAATCAATGCAAAAATGAAAACCTGACGTAGCCGAAGAACTCGAGCAAAAAAGTAAATGTCCTACCATAGAAATAGATTAAGTGGGTCTAAGTGTTAAGAATAAATTGTACTAGGTAAAAAATCAATGCAAAAATGAAAACCTGACGTAGCCGAAGAACTCGAGCAAAAAAGTAAATGTCCCACCACAGAAATAGATAAAGTGGGTCCTACGTGTTAAGAGTAAATTGCAACATTCTGTATGAAGAAGCTAACCGAATTGTATCTCTTTTCAGATCGAAGTGGAACAAAGGACTTTCCCAATAGACGCCATAGTTACCTCAGTTCGAAGCATCACTTTTCTGGTCACCGTTGGATCCTACCAAAGAGACCGATCAGGAGAATCCAATTAAACGTTTAAAGCAAGTTCGATCGGTTGAATCGAGATAACGAGATTAGTTGGCAAGGCTCGTATCCAACATCTTCGAACTTAATGCTCGCGATCAAGTATCGTTATCGAGACACAGTAGCGGCGTCGCGTGGTTGGATCGGTAAACGAAAATGTTGTTCGTTTGCTGACGAGAAACAACGCGAACGCGAAGACGGTGAGTCGTTGGCCGTGATCGGTTTGGACGTATTCAGGTGGCGGGACTTGGGTGAGAATATTATTCGTTTGTACGTGGTCGTGGTCGTGATCGTGGTCGTCGTGCGTTGTACAGTCAGTGGTTCGGCAGTGAGAGAAAGATAAAAGAGAGAGGCGGGCAGCTATAACCGGCAACCACACGGTGGACATGATTATTTCAAAGGATCTGTTCCTCTTTGGCGACCAAGATTACCTGCGCCTTCCCAGTAACGAGAAGCGCCAGCAACGGGCAATGGGCCGACCGATCATCAATGCTCCCAGGTAAGTGGCTTTCACGATTACCGGTTTACCTTTTACGATAAGCTTTTCCTTCCTCTGCCACGGGTAACCGGTGTGGAAACGCTCCTCGATCATCCGACCGATTTTGTCGGGGGGACCTGACACTGGCTACTCCCTATATCTCATATTCAGTTTTCTTGCGATATCGAATATTTAGACTCTATTCGTGAAGCCTCGAGATTAGCTTCAATTTACACCCTTCATACTTGAAAGTTTATTCGGTTCATACAACAATTTGAAGCAGGTGTTTGTTTAACCCCTTGCACTATTTTGAGTCTGCCTTTAGCTGTGATCAAATCTACTTTTTCAATGTAGCTTGAACTTGTATGTTCAAGTCCAATTATTTCTCTAGTCATTGATACCAAATTAACATCTCAACTCTCCTGAAATAATAATTGACTTGCTGTTTTAATACTATAGCTGTGACTTGTGGATGAAGCAATGACTCACCTGATAAATCATAGAACAAGGGATTAAATCTACCCAATTAAATCTACTGAATTAAGGGGTTTAAGAGGGTTAAATCTATTAAATCTAACATTATACATGTGACATCAAACCCAGTGAGACTAACAGGAAATTAATAATAGAGTAACTAAGAAAGAATTCATCAAAGTTTTCGACTAAATAAGTGTACAGTCTACAGACAACAAAATCAAGTGCAAGTTTATTCGTCCAATTAGTTCACACGATTCACTTTCATCGAAATTATCGGCTCATTGTTCTATCGTCCTATCGCCTCTTGGACAAATTTATTTATACCGTATGTTTATCGTGTCGCGGATTCAACGAACACAGACTGTGTTGTTTGCGCACGAGTTTGTTTGATCGCGTCTTTGTTCCGATCTTCGTTGTTCGATCGTCGCTGTTTAACTCTTTCGCTTCGGAGAACGTACACGGTGAAGAACAAAAGACAATTTGAAACATCGCAGGTGTTTATTACTTCTGATAGACATTTTATATCGTGGTGATAATATTAGTTTTATTTCAGAGTGTCTTGTGTTGATATTCTTTTCTTGATTTAGATGCATTCATATCATTAGAGTGATGTCGAAATTTATTTTTGAACTGTACATTGTGTGTATGAATTTATAATATGTATACAAATAGTCTTGTAGACAATACTTTAGGAAATGTTTGAATTATTTGAAATCTTTAAATTGCGCGGATTTTGTGATTTTTAAGAGGTGATTTTCAGAGGTGGATGTTAGGGTAAGAAGTAAGGCTGAGCTCAGGGCTGCTGAATTAAATGGAGTTGAACTAATATATGTGATTGAATAAACGAATAAATAGATGAAAATTCTAGATTGTAGAATTAAGTCGCGTTTAATCGAAGTGTTTAGAATCGAATCAAGATGGATAGAAATGAATAAAGATGCATGCAATCGATTGCAGGTGCATAGTGTAAATACAAGATGCATACAATTAAATGCAGGTGCGTAGAATCAAACTGAGGTGCGTAGAATTGAATCAAGATGAATAGACTTTAGTCGAGGTGCATATAATCAACTGTAGGTGCATAGAGTCAATACTAGATGCATACAATTAATTGTAGGTGTATAGAATCAAAATGAGGTGCATAGAATTGAATCAAGATGAATAGACTTTAGTCGAGGTGCATAATATCGACTGTAGGTGCATAAAGTCAATAGAAGATGAATGTAGAATCAAACGTAGATGTGTAGATTTAAACTGAGATGCTTAAAATTGAATCAAGATGACTAGAACCTAGTCGAGATGCATAAAATTAATCGTAGGTGCATAGAGTCAATGTAAGATGTATACAATCAAATGCAGGTGCTTAGAATCAAACTGAGGTGCATAGAATTGAATCAAGATGAATAGAGTTCAGTCTAGGTGCATAATATCAATTATAGGTGCATAGAGTCAATAGAAGTTGAATGTAGAATCAAACGTAGGTATGTAGAATTAAACTGAGATGCTTAAAATTGAATCAAGATGACTAGAACCTAGTCGAGATGCATAAAATTAATCGTAGGTGCATAGAGTCAATGTAAGATGTATACAATCAAATGCAGGTGCTTAGAATCAAACCGAGATGCACATACTTGTACCAGGGTGTACAAAATCAAATCAAGATGCATAGGATTGAATGTTACCGAATCGACATCCACACACAAATGAATTTATGAAGGTTCATAACAAAATGGAATTAGTAAACCAGTATGAAATCGCGTAGCATAAAATTGCACTACCGATCAAATCAAACTGAATTGAATACTCTTGACCACATGACTGCAAATTTGGAACCAGCAAAACCACGATTTCTGAATCGAAATAACGTCAAATAGCAAAAGGCTGAAATCTCGCAAGTAACCGTTGAAAGTCCAGCATCGAAGGCTAGAAAACATCAAAGAGGAGCAAGAAATCCGCTCGACTTTTCTTCCTTCCCGACCGGTCCACGCCCGTGATAAGGAGAACGCGAATGCGTGCTCGGCGCGTGCAGTCCCTTCACGATGGAGAGTGGGTCACGCATGGGAAACTGGAACAGTTTCATCTGCCAAGCGGAAGACTCGATTTTTCTCCGGAGGAGAAACCACCGATTTTTCTTTCGATCGTACGTTTCTAGGTTACAGAGGTGTATCGTACGCTAACACGCCTCTGCTTTATGCTCGTGTAATACTTGCACGTAATGGGAATGGGAATGGACGCTTTTATCCGCGCGGCTCGTTAGAAATCTGCCCGCGGACGATTCTGTGGTTTCGAACGCGTCAGACCGTTCATTTTCTCGTGGACGACCTAACCGTGTTTCATGGCTTTAGCCAACGATCGATGGAAACCAGGATGGTCTCGATTCTTTTTAATTATCGTTCCCGCCTTTTTCTCCCTACTCAGGTAGGACACTGCCCTCGTTAATTCTCGTGTATCGGAAAGTCATATTTTAAGAAATATCATTTGAAATTAACTCCGTGCTTTGACGAGTCTCACTCGTGACGCACTTGCAACTTAAATGTGACAAAACTTACTCAAATTTTGAAGACTCTTCAACTTGAAATTTAGGAAATTCAATTTAATATCAAGGATCCTTGAATATAAAATATTCACAATATTTTAATTTTCTTTGTTCCTTTTAATATTAATAGTTTACAGTTTACCTTCGATTTTACCCTATATTTTGTGACGGTGAGTTTCTTTATTTTTGTTGGGAGGAGTAATGTGTATTGCTGCTATAGTCAATAGTTAGTCTTGACTAACGCATCTGACAAATAAATCAATTAAAAGGGTTAAAAAGGTACAAAACATCTTACATTTTTATCTCAAGGAGATCTCGAGAAACTTCAAATTACAAATTATGTAGTTTAAGCTTGTGAACGGTCGACCGGTTTGGTAGTTTTGGTGTTAACATCAGCGAATGCGCTGGCATTGTGATGCAAAATAACACGAATGCATTGAAACTTTGAATAGCATTCAATTTTGAAGATTATTCATTTCATTATACGTAACTCTAGGTTTTTGTGATTATGCATTTCAAAGTCGATTCACCAGGTATTTTTTACCGAGGCAAATTTTAAAGTTCAGTTTGAACTAAAAGTAGCAAGAAGAGTCCACTAAAGTTTGATCGATCTGAAGTTTAATTTAACCGATTCACCAGGTATTTTTACACAATTCTTTACCGATGCAAGTTTTAAACTTCAGTTTGAACCAAAAGTAGCAAGAATATTCTACAAAAGTTTAATCAATCGATCTGTAGTTTAATCTGACCGATACACCAGGTATTTTTACACTATTTTTTACCGATGCAAATTATAAACTTCAGTTTGAACCAAAAGTAGCAAGAAAATTCTACAAAACTTTGATCGATCGATCTGAAGTTTAATTTAATCGATTCACCAGGTATTTTTACACAATTCTTTACCGATGCAAGTTTTAAACTTCAGTTTGAACCAAAAGCAGCAAGAATATTCTACAAAAGTTTAATCGATCGGGAAAATCGAGACAGCGTTTTCATGCCGATCGATCTCTCGACTCTCTGACTAATTCCGTCGAATGAATCATTCCAGTCTCGAAAGAACACGGCCAAAGTGCATTGCACCGACACCGAATTGAACTTGAATCCACGTTTGCCTTAGTCGCTCGCGAGATAACGCGTTCGATCGACGCTTTAAATAGTGCGCCATTTTTCGCAGCTTTTCTTTTTCACTCAGCAGCAGTTACGTAAGCAGCTGGAATATTTTTGGCTCGATAATGTTTGCTCGGACATCTCGAATTTATAGCGTACTCAAATTTTAATTGAGTTATGGTCGGTGTCGGTTCGGTGTTACAGTTTTGTCTTTGATTCGGGGACCATTTAACTTTCATTCGGAAACTTGAGATTTATAGACATGTGAAAGGGAGCTAGAGTGGTTTGTTGAATTTTGGTTGAATTATTTTTGGGTTGGTGGAGTTTGTAGGTGGATATTTTAATCAGATTTTGAAGAGTATTCAAACTTGAAGTTTGGGTTCAATTATATGTTTCATTATCAAGGATCTTTGAATATAAAATAGTTACATTTTAATTTTCTTTGTTGATTTTAA